CACAAAAAGAGGGATATTGGTGAGAAAAGAAATGAAAGGGCAACATAGAAGGAAATAACAACGGAATTACACTTATGCTTCATGTTCCACTCCTCGGGGAAGGCATCTTTTCAGTCGGAATCAAGTCCGAAGTCCTTACTCGAACGAACCTGCCCATCCAGCCTCGATCCCTGTCCTTGTCTATGCTCGAGAACATAGCCTTGGTAGCTCGACGCTGAAGTTTTATTAACTCTCCTCGAAAAAGGCGAGGACGGTACAAACGGATGAGATGGTCGAGGGTGAACGGCATCCCCTCGATTTTATTCACAAAGTATTGGATCAAAATAACGATCCACCAAAAAGAAGGATGGACCTGGCCTAGGGTTATTTGGTATTGACGACAGAAGTCAACAATAACAGAGTCGAGGGGACCTAACGTGAAAGGGTAAGTATACACACTTAAAATCCCTTTCACGTAAGTGGTGATATCTTCGTCAGAAGAAGGGATTATTATTTCTTTGTTCTCCCAATTGTAATCTTTCTTTAGTTGTTTGAGGTGCCTCTCGGTTATCGAACACATGTACCTCGATACTGGATCACATCAGCCGGGAACCGACGAGCCTTTATCGACCTTAAAATCAGATGTAAGAATACACGCCCCAGGAACGCACTCCTCAGGCCGTGGCTCTACTGGTGTTTTGTTGGCAGCAGACTGTGAAGATGAAGCTTTCTCTTTCTGAGGAATGGTTTGTGATATTTTCGCCATTTTCGAATTTAAAGGTTGAGAATAGAAGAAAGTGACAAAGATTTGGTAGTTTTGAATAAGGACTTTTGCAGAGAGGAATCACAAATTTGTGAATAAACTCAGAGGGTACGAAAAAGAATTTGGAAAATTTGGAAGATTGAAGATGTAAAAGTGATAAATGGTAAAAGGAAGGGCTATTTATAGATTAAAGCAATGGCGGTTCAATATCAGCGGTGGCCGACCACCGTCTGACATGCATTAAATGCCTTGAAAAACTAAACCGACGGGACAGCTATCACGTGCGTCATAATCGAGTCCAATGTGAAAGTCAGCTTATATCTGATCGAGCCGTTGTGAAATCATATCGTTTCTCGCTACATCTTTCTCAAGAAATGAGAGAACTATCTGTATACGATAAAGACCAGTTAGTCCTTCGTACGAATTGGTTTAAAAGGTAATACATTGGATCGGAGAAGCTTCTTCATAGTATCAGGTTGAGGTCCGAAGTCAGGTCACCAAGCTTCGAGCCGGAAGGACCGATCAATGTCGAGCTCGATGTTATTATCAAGCTCGAATCCAAGTCGAACTATGATACAAAGTAAAGTTATCGAGCTTATGATTCATAGAACGACCAACACTAACCCCGAATCAATACAGGGATCCAAGTCAGAATCGAGCTCGAGTCAAGATCGAGAGCTCGAGTCAAGACTGAAAACTCGAGCTAATATCGAGCTCACAGACAAGAGCCGTTGTAATCCCACTAGAGGACAGAATCCTGGCAGGAATTATGGAAAAGTTGATTTATCATGGGTCTCCCACTGTATATTTTTAATTATATCTAAAAGTAGGATCCTCCACTATAAAGAAGATGGCTACGTTTCTATAAAGGGGATTTCTTTGCTTACATTGTAACTTAAGCACTATATACTCCTATATTGAAGAGTTATTCTTTTAAGCTTCATAAATTGATTCATCTTGCTTAGTCCTAAAAATCATCTTCTTTCCAACCAAGCTTATTTTGTATTCTTTGCAATCCGTATTTGATATTTCTATTTATCCTTACGATTTATATTAATCTATACCACATATCCTTAGAACTACGTACAAATTTAACTCTATCCGTTTTTCAGGTAAACAAAAATAGCAAACTGAATCGAAGAAGCAGTATGCGACGCGAGCTTTGAAGCTCGCTATAGTGGTTGTGTCGCACAGCATACCGCAAGGTGGAGTGCGCGGCAGAGCAGGCTAGGCGCGGTCTGTCGTGAGGCGACGCGTGTTTTGGGTTTTAGGCTTATTTTGTCTCCTTTTTGATTTTGGACTTGGTTATTTCGTCTAGGCCTTTTTTCTACACATATAAATAGTCATTAAACACCATTTTGAGGGGGAGACCGACATTATATCGGAGATTCAACCTAAGGAGGCAAGAACACACTAGGAGCAATGTGGAGAATTAATCTACTAGTTTTTCACTTCCTTCTTCCTATTTCCATTATTGGTTATAAATTCTAGTATTGTAGTTATGCATACTATTATGAATAGCTAATTTGTTATCTAGGATTTTGATGGAACCTATTGGAGGATGATTTTCCTGTTACGTTAATATATATTTACTGTAGCTTTTTCTCTATTTGTTCAACTACGTTTATATTGTGGTTGGTTGAAGAGCTCTCAATCAACTATGCCTATTTAGTGTGTATTACTCGGGAGAGAGTGCATATTTAGGTAGTTGTTTAATAACATCACTCCTAACGTATATGAGGGATGAATACAGTGGGTTTAAAGGTGGGATTAGGGATAATAAAATTTTGGTGCGATCCGAGTGAGCCGTACTTAATGCCAGCTATCGTAATTCAGGAGAATATGTCTAGTAAATTGTGGTAGTTACTCGGGAGAGAATTACGACACTCAGAGCGCTCATGATAGGTAGAGAATATTTAGGCGAAATTATAGAAGACGTAGCGGGAAGGATTCCGACAATTGGGAAAATCATAACTCTAGACCTCCTTAATCTTGTCTTCAATCCTTATCCTTGTTAATTGATAGTTTTACTGCTTTCTAGTATTTGTTATTTAATTAGATAAAAATAAATATTATAATCTTTATAATTAGGAAATTGTTTGGACTTGTGTTTCTTAGCGATATTGAACAACTGTAGCTAAGCCTTAGTTCTCTGTGGGATTCGACTCCGGACTTGTAAATCGGATTATATTTGCAACGATCGCTTAGTCCTTTTTATAAGGCATAGTTGAGCGTGATAAAATATTAAGTGTATAGTTAGAAATAATTAACAAATTTAATCTTGAATTCGTAATGTGACAATTATTTCGAGACAATTTCTTTGAGTTAAAGCGACAGTTAAAATAGGACCGAGTGAACAATCGATAGGAAAATAAATATTCATACTCAGTGCTTATATCAAACAAATAATTTAGTTTTAATAAGTTATAAACTAAAGTAATTCATCATTTCATATTAATACTTTAATCGACACGAAATATTATTATCAAACATTAAGATTAATACGGCTGAATCTGAATACACATCTGAATATCAAGATGTGCATTAATATTAAAACATCTGATCTGAATACACACCTGAATATTAAGATGTGTATTAAGATCTGAATAACAAATGATTAAGATTGTTTGTTTTTTAACATATAAATATATAAAACTTATCTTTATTTGAAAACTAATAAACATAAAATTCAAATAAAATAATAATTAATCTAATATTCTTTTAGTAAAATATATATTTCTTAAAATATGGTAGTTAGTGATAGTAATGGCTAACGGTAGTGCTCGTGAATGCCGACTAGAGGCGGTGGTTGATGGTGGTAGTTCTAGCTAGTAGCTAGTGATGATTGGTAATAGGGGTGGCAAAATGGTTAAAAGAAAACAGTTAACCACCCATATTATCTACTAAAAATGGGTTGGATAATGAACTTTTTAAAAACGGGTCAAATATGGATAAAGAACCATATTATCCATTTAAAAAATTGATAACCAATGGATAACTAATAAGTTTAACTTTTACCTTTGTAAAGCCTCAAATTGGGGGTTCCTCAAGTTTGTGAGACTAGGAATCTCCCAAAAGTGATCATATTCAAAAAGTCATGGATAATATGGTTACTCATATTATCCGCCGATTAACCAATTTTTATCTGTATTAAATATGGATCGGGTCGGATAATATCTATTTTTTCATTACCCGTTTTGACTCGTCCCATATCCGATCTGACCCGCCCTTTTGCCACCCCTAATTGGTAGTAATAGCGACTATGATTGATGATGGTGGTGGTGGGTAATAATAACTAATAATGGTGGGTGGTGATGGTGGTTGTGGTTGTGATTGAGGAAGATAGTGATAGTTTATAATGGAGGGCAATGCCGGGCTACCGGCTATGGTTGTTGATGGTGATGGGATGGTTAGTTGTGGTAGTTGAGGTGGATGTGTATGTGGTTGTGGTTCAGAATGATGGTGGTGGGGGTAGTGGGGATGGTAGGTGGTGGTTGTCGATAATGGTGGCGGTTATGGTTGAGAATAATGGTGGTGGTGGTTGAGTATGGTGATGGTGGGTGGCATGGTGGTAGTTGATAATGATAGGCGATGACAACAATTAATAATGAATGTAGATGATAACATCTTAATGAAATTAAGTCTTTATTATATATCTTAATCTTACATACCTATTCAGACTCAATAAGCGGTTGTAAAGTTAAAAAAAAAAAACTTAATGACCAAGATCTAAATGATCAAGCTTCATATCCTGTTTGGCCAAATTTCTAAAATATGTTTATTTTGAAAAGTGCTTTTCAAAAAAATACTTTCGGTGAGAATCAGTTTGTGTTTGGCTAATTAATTTGAAAAGCACTTTTGAGCAACAATTAGTGTTTGACCAAGTTTTTGAAAACTACTTCTAAGTGTATTTTTATCAAAAGTGATTCTCAGAAAAGTACTTTCGGAGAGAAACTACATTTTTCTACTTCTCAAAATCTGTTTCTACTTCTTCTCAAAAACACTTTTTTTCCTTCTAAAAGCTTGGTCAAACATCTCAATTTTTGGCCAAAAGTACTTTTGGCCAAAAAAAAAACTTGGCGTACTTTTGGCAAAAAAAAAAACTTGGCCAAACATGCTATCAAACTTTAAAAATAAATATACAAAATCTGAATATTTAAGATTAAAATCTTGATTAATTGCAAACAAATGATACCATAAATACGTTGGGAGTGCATACAAGTAATTCCCAAGTGGAATGGGACTTGAGGACAGAACAAAAGTCCCACACGTCACGTTCCTCATTTTTATTTGAACAAAAGAAAAAGCTGTGAACAATATGGCAGTTTTGCTATGGCTATTTCTATATGCTCTATCCAATTATTCACTTCAAGTCACACACTACCATTACTCCCTTCTTCTTCTCGCTCTGTTTTCGTGAGAAAACGTTTCTCTTGTTCATCCTCAAAATACATGGAACAGCAGAATGAAAATCAGTCAAAATTCAAGGAATTTCCTTATGTGTCTGTCCCACATAGGGAGTTAATGGTGGAACTTGTATCGACTGTGGAGAATCGGCTTGGAACATCTCTTCTTCCTTGTAATCTGCCTTGTAATGTTCAGTACTTTGAGAATCAGACTGCTACTGCCCATGCTTCTCTCTATGTCAGATCTGGCCACTCCTCTTCCCAGGTACCCCTAAATTGCCTATAAAGTGGTGTCGTTAAGTTAACTGAAACATATGTGAATACTACTTTATTAAAAACCACAGTTTATCTTGCCGTGTTTTTGGTTGAGTACCCAGTTTAAGACAAAATAACTTAGAATTTTTGGTTTTAGACATGGCTGAGTGTATTCTAAATTAATAATTTGAATATATTCAATGGATTTCTTAACACAAATACAAGGTTTGGTTCAAAGCTCTGTGCGGCTGAACCCGTAACCCAAACTCAAACTTACGGTAGCGGAGCTAGCCTTTCGGTTGTGGGCTCGGCCGGTAAATTTGGTCCCAACCATGTATTGTCTTAAGAAATTCATTGAATTATATACAAATTATTAATTTAGAACAGAGTAGCTTAAAAAACTAGAATTCTGAACCCTGACTCCGCCTCCGTTAACTTAGGCCCTGTGCCATGATATTTTTTTATGGCTATAAGAGCATGTCATTAAGGATCAAACGCACAGTTTAAAGAAAGAATTTTCAAATATAGAAAAGTGACCTTCATTTTTAAACAGAAAGGAAAGAATGCCATGTAAAATGGAAGGAGATGGAATATTACATTCACTATTCCTTTTGTAAAGACTAAGTGTGGATTTAGTATAGATTTAATTATACTTATAAATGTTGTTGAGGATATCTTGGAAGGACAATAAGCAAAATGGACTTGAACAGCATCCACAGAATTGGTCCTGTTCTTTTTGGAGGATGGTTGAGACTTGATCGAATAAATTGTTCTTCTCAGCATTTCCCTTGATCATGATGTTGCTTCCAGTAGAATGTAGCACGGCTCCTATGTGAGAACAAATCCTCCTCTCTTTCACTGTTAAATTTACATCGCGAAGATAACAAAGAAAAAAGAGAATCTTCTGGACCTCTTTGCTTTGTTATATTTTCCGCATGATGTTATGCATTTGAGATATATTACGATAATGATCGATAAATCTCATTCTTGTATAAGTATAGAACTCTAATCTTCTAACTTTAGTTGGTTTGGCTTAATTCAGAGGATTTAAAACCATGCCAAATTGTGCTTATGTAAGTGTGAGCTTTCTTATTCATTATGCTAATTTAATTTCAGTCGTTTAGGAGTAAGAACACAAATTCAAAAGCCAAGTGCAAGTTTAAGAAGAGCAGCAAATATAGTTTTGTTATCTCCACGCCTTTGTCTATATACGAGGATCATATTGAACATAAGTATGGATTTTGTCTACCTGAACATGATTGGTTCTTCCTCTATAATTAAAGTTACATAAGGTGTTTGTTAAATTTGTCGAATTTTGCGTTGTCCTCTGTGATAAGGTGAATTCGAGCAATTCTCTGTTTACCAGTAAATAGGAACAGTTTAAGAGTTCTTCAAGGTTCAATTTATATTGGACATGCCCCTATGTTTGGAGATGAAAAAATATCCTTCTAACTCTACAATTTGTACTTTAATGGGCTATTAGCATTCAAAATCGATATAATCAATATGGTTATACTTGGTGTGGACGCTGTCCTCGCTGGACTTGTTTTTAGAATTATCCATGTGCATAGTTTGTAGCTTTCATGGGCTGGTGTAGAGTTGCTTTTTCTTGATATATATTCTTGTTGATGTTATACATCAGGACTACAAGAGCAGGTGGAGAATGTAAACAGGAAGTCTTAAAGAGCATCAAGTTAGTTCCACTTAAGGCTTAAGGAAGTAAATTTGACCACAATCTGATATTCCTATGCTTATTCATTCCTGAATTTTGATCTGGTGTCTACTCATAAGTTCTTATTCCGTTATTTACCAGTTTACTCAATAGTTTCGTTGACTGCTCTACAGTTCTTCATTAGGTCTTCTTTCTCTTTGTGATTTGATATTTTGTTTCTAGCACGTGTTTAATATAAGATACTTTTGGGAACACGCAGTAAATGATTTGAACTTTTACATAAGTTGAGAAGTCGTCTAATAAAGCAGTTCTTGTCATTCTTGCATCCGATGTTTATTAAAAGCTATCGCTTTGTCGCTTCATTGCTTGATGTGTTTTTTAAAAGCTATTGCTTCGTCGCTTGAAGCGATTCGAAGCGAGGGGTTATTGCTTCTGGCAAGCAATGCGCTTCAGAGGAGTGTGCGGTTAAAAAAAGTGAAGGCGAAATTATCCAAAGCATTAAAGCTCCATGAATGTTGTCGCTTTTTACTAGCATCAAGAATACATGCAAAGTCAACATTTTGCCTTTCTAATGTGTGACAGGTTGATTTCATACTCGGTAGTTGGGTTCACTGCAACTTGCCCACGGGTGGAGCCTTGAATATTACAAGCCTCTCCGCCTATTTGAGACCTTCAACTGATGCACCAAACTTCTTAATCGAAGTCATCCGCAGCAGTCCAACATCTCTCATCCTCATTCTTGATCTACCTCCACGAAAGGACCTCGTCCAATATCCTGATTACCTTAAGACATTTTACGAGGAAACGCAATTAGGCAATCAGAGACAACTTCTCGAGAAGCTACCAGAGGTGAAGCCTTATTTCTCGTCGTCTCTATATATTCGAGCTCTTGTCTCTCCATCAGCTATCTTGGTTTCTATAGAAACCGAAGCTTCTCAGGCTGTTCGAATCGATGAGATTATTAAGGATCACATAAGTCCTGTTGCTAAGGTAATGTTGGAGACATGGTTGGATCTTTGTGCTTGTGCTGAGAAAAAATTGACAGAGGATGAAAGTACAGCTTTGGCAAAGAGGGATAAAATAATTAAGAATAAGACTATTGAGATAGATCTTGAATCAAGCTTCCCTAGGCTTTTTGGTCAAGAAGTAGCAAACAAGGTTTTAGGAGTACTAAGGGAAATCTACAATGCTTGAATCTCTTAATTATGCAGCTGTTGATTAATACTGAAAGGTAATTATTGTATGTAATCTTGTTAATTCTTCAACTATTAGAAAAGGCAAATTGGGAGTAATTATAAAAGTTGCATTCTTCTGCTCCTCCCTAGATTGTTTTTCATGCTGTGTATTGATGATGCTCTTCCAACGGTTGAGTCTTACTTCTGCAGCCGTTGTCTTGATTAAGAATATCTGAATGTGATAATTGTATTATTCTTTTTAATAGTAGTTTAAACTGCAATGCATTAATTGAATGCATATGAGTGTAATTATAGTAAGTTGTCTTCCTCTGTTTGGCTCTTCGCTGGTTCATGCTTTGTATCTATGGAAATGACATATGACTTCCGGAAATGTCAGCACATAAATCTTTTTCTTTCTTCAACCTATTCGAAAAAAGAAGGAATATTTTATCTATTATTTCAAGAAAGATGGGTTTTACCTTGAGACATTTGTTTTTTGTGCAAATGTAGTACTCATTAGGTTAAAATATGTGGGCTAAAACTCAGCCCAGTGATGGGACACTTGTTCCATGTATAGCCCAAAATGTTCTTGCAACTTTGCCAGTTCCAAAAATGCTTTGTTTCTTAGATGGTCATTTATTTCCTTTTATGTGAGATTAAACTTATTAAACTCAAGGAAATTAGTGATTTTCTTGTTGCTTAGCACAGAAAAGATGAATTCTATAGTTATTTGATACCAAATGATTTGGAGGATATCTATGAAATAACTTGAGATTTATTAATGGAAAAACCGAATAATTTAGTAGAAGGTGGTGTTTTCTCTTCATACATAACCTTGAGGAAATCATGTAAGTCAATCAAAGTATTCAAGAAAGAAGAAAGGCAACGATACGTTAAATCCTGATATAATAAACAGTTTCCCAATTGGATAAAATTCAGGATTTAGGCACAAAAAAGAAAAACTACTTCAGTTTCAGAATCAGAAAGCATAAACATTTCTAAGTTCGGATTGAATAGTATAGTTAACAAGGGTGGTAACGGGTTGTGGAGTGGTAAATACTTTTTCATTCTTAATAACAGATTACGGGTTCGAGCCCTGTGTATGAAATTATTTTTGTTAGGGACATTTTACCTCCAATGTGAAATTTTTCGGTGCCAATTCGGATTCCCAATAAAAATAGAGAACACCGGCTAAGAAATCAACAAAATAGAAAAGTTGTGACAGTTAAATTATTTGGAGAAGCCAATTAATGAATCAGATACGCCAATTGATAGCACCCAAAAGCAGCAGCATTTCATTCCCATTTTTGGTATGAAGAAGTTAGTAATACTACTCATAATAAATACTACTATAGCTTAAGCTTTTTTAATAAGTAACTGAATTAAGGGGCACATATCCAGAGAGGTTCATTAATAACGAGTCTCAGGCTTTAATTAATACACCTATTTAGGAATACCTAAGGAATAGAAAATTCATTCTCAGCTACTCAAAGTAGAAGTAGGACAGTACCCTAAACAAGAAAGGTCTACCAATATTCACCAGATCCAAGAAGAATGCTTAGTAAATGATGGCAACCACTATTCTTTTTCGTTAACAATATTTTTGCTAAATATAGCAGGTTATTTATTACTCCCTTTGTCCATTTTTGTTTGTTCACCGATCCCATCCCACAATAAGTGATTTTTGGGTTATCTTCACACAGATTAAGAAATTCATCTTTTAATATTAATTACCAATGAAATTTACTATATTAACCTTTACTATCTCTTCACATAAATATTCATAACACATACTTTAGCACTATTTACTCCAAGGGCAATGTAGGAAAAAAATAATTAATTCATTCTTGAAATTTGAAAAAATCACTTATTTTGGACCACAAAAAAAGAACCAAAAAATCACTTATTGTTAACCGGAGGGAATAATATACTAAAAATAAATGATCACTTTTACAGGTCCAGTTTGAAAAACCAAGAAATACTTTATATTTATACTTATTTTACTCTTATTATTTAGTACTAGTACTAATAATTTTCAATACATTGCACAACATATTATAATTATGGATAATATAGTAAAATTATCATTTTGTTAATTGCTCTTTAAAGAGTGTGCCAAGTCAAACACGAACAAGTAAATTGCACAGAGGAAATACAATTTTTAGAATACCAAAAAATTACCTCATGTTGTAGTTCATCTTAACTTGATGGCTACAAAAGTTGAGCTCTTTAATATTAGACGGCCAAAAGTTTATTAAATAGTGTAACTCAAAAAGCAGCCAATTGCTCTTTTTTGGGTGATTAATCCTCAAGAATTTAATTAAACAGTTTATTAATACTGTGATGATAGGCTATAATTACGTATTTTAGTCGCTTATTACACTCTAATTTACTGCACTTTAATTGAGTTTGAGCTTTAATCGCTAGTGTTTTGCACTAATTATGTGTTTTATGTCTTGTAGGAGTGATTCCGAGCTATATAGATGTTAGGAAATGAATTCAAGTGATTTGGAGCTTTGAAGTCTGAGTAAAAGCCCAAGGAATTAAGCTGGGATCCTGTTCGGGGATCAATTGATGATAGTTAAGAACGAACGAAGAATCGAGTAGGCATATTGCGCACTGTCTAGTAAAATACACATAACTTTTCGCTAAAAATTCCATTTGGGCCCCACAATATATGGTTGGAAAGCTAATTAAAAGGACTACAACTTTTATGTTTTATATTTTTCTAAATTCCAAACAGAACAGGGTCAAAAATGTGGTCGAATCCGCAGCCGCGGATGTGAGGCAGAACACTAGGTAAAATCCGCGGCCGCGGACGTCCTGACCTAGAAAAGTGTCCTTTTTCGCGTAGGAGAAGGTATAATTATTTGGGCTCGATCCTACTTGGTGTATATATATATATATATATATATATATATGAAAAACGGTATTTTGAGGACTTTTTGATATACTTTCGACATAATTTAGACCTAAGGAGACTGGGGATTCGACCTAAGGAGGCAAGAATACGCGAGAAGCAAGGAGGAAGATTCAACCATGAATTTTTTCCTTCTTCTTTCTACTTTTCATTATTGGTTATGACTTTTAGTATTATAGGGTTTACATACTATTATGAGTAACTAATTTGTTATCTAGGGTTTTGATGGAACCTCTTGGAGGATGAATTCTTGTTATGCTTTAATATAATTTAACCTTTGAATTTGTCTATTTGTTCAACTACGTACTTATTTTAGTTGATTGAATGGCCGTCGATTGACTGTGCCTATTTATTATGTGTTGCTTGAGAAAGGATATATATATTTAGGTGGTTGTTGAACGATGTCACTCCTAACGTATGTGAGAAATCAATACATCAGGTTTAAAGGTAGGTTTAGAAATAACAAAGCCTTGACGTGGTCATAATGAGTGGTTAGATAAAGCCAACTAGCGTAGTTCGAGAGAATATATCTAGTAAATTATTGTAGTTGCTCGAGAGAGAATTACGACACCTAAAGTGCTTACGATCAGTAGAGAATACATAGGCGAAATTATAGGGAACATAGCGGGAAAGATTCCAACATTTGGGGAAATCATAACTCTAGACATCCTAAATTTAATCTCCAACCCTTGGTATCTTTAGTTGTTAATTTACTGCTTTAGTTTCTTAGTTAATTAGTTAGATATAAGAATCTTAATCTTTATAACTTAGAAATTTATTCGAGCTTGTCTTCTTAGCGATATTGAACAATTATGGCGAAACCTTAGTTCTCTGTGGGATTCGATTCCGGACTCTTAGACCGGATTATATTTACAGCGACTGCTTATTCTTTTTAGGACTAGAGTTGGGTGTGATCAAATTTTGGCGCCGTTGTCGGAAAACTAACAGTGTAGCTGTAGGTGTACATATTGCTAAGTTTCAAGTTTGAACTTTTATTTTTATTTTCTGTATTTGAATTTTTTTTATTTTTGTTTTACTTCTTACTTCTTTTTTTTAAAAAAATATGGCATCTTAGAATTATGAGAGTTTTGATGTTGGTAATTCTACTTTTAATCCTCCTTATGCATATTGTGGAGAAAATCACCCATGGCAAAATTTTTAAAATATTTCCGAGAGCGAGTTATGTGCACCAACCCAATCTTATGTGTGGAATGTATGTGATATGTGTAGTGGTCAAAATGGTCACTTTCATGGTTGTGCTTATATTTCTTATCTTCCCCCAACCCCTTACTTTGACGGTTCTTCTTTTTCTTGTGAAGTTAATAGGAACAAAGAACCCAGGGATGACGACATGAAAGAGATCAAGGAGATGATAAGGTGCCTTGTGGAACAAAATAATAAGAAACAATTGCACATACAAAGGTGAGTTGCTACTATTCGCAACCTGGAGGCACAAGTGAGTCAACTAGTTGAAGCTTTTAATACTCAGCAAGGCAATTTTGTGGATAGTAGTCAAGAGGAACGTGAATTTGAGGTGCTAATGAGGAGGTCAGAGTAGAACATCAACCAACTAGCCAACTACAATTTGAGGATGTTGATGTTGAAGAAGTGAGACTAGAGTCAGCCAAGGACTTTGAGGATATAAATTTTGTTGACTCTAGTATCATTGATGTTGAGGAAGTTGAAAGTCTTGAAGCTCATGTGTTTGTGCGCATTTGGCCTCACTCCAAATATTTTTCCACATTGTGCTTGGATAACGATATGGAAATAGAGTCATCCAAGCCGATTGAGGAGTCAAGGAATGAGGAACAAGGTGTCTACATTCTGGAATTTTTCTTGCCAGAAAGACAGGACTACATACCTCATCTAAAAGCCAAGAAGTGTAGAATAGTACAATGGTTGCTTGGGCCAATTATATTTATTCTACCACCCTTGGAGCATAACCGAAAACTTGAAGCCAAATTGGGGGTTCAATTCATAAGCTCGAGGTGGAGACAAAAATTAGTTTTCGTCGTGTCGTGACGTTAAATCAAGCGCATGTTGGGAGGCAACCCAGCTTTATTTTTTTAATTTAATTTAATTTTTTTTAATTTTATTTTTTATTTATTTTTTTATTATAATATTATTTTTGTAGTGTCGATTTTTAATTTTTTAGGAGCATAGAATGCAAAGCCATTGGAAGAATACAACAGCAAACCAGATAGTTGGAACTAAGTGTGAGGTACCCATACGAAGGACCAGGCCTGGGAGAAGTCTGAGTACCCCATGAGCTGCTAGTGCGTCGGCCTTTGACCTTTCAGGGAGTTTCTTTTACCCTCTTGTATGTATGGGTGTGCATTGGGGACAATGCATAATTTTAAGTGTGGGGAGAGGAGATTGTTTAGGTGACTTTCCATGCTATTTTAGTTGTGTTAGTTTAATTGAATAATTTTTTTTTATTTTTACAAAAATATAAAAGATTGGACCTTTCCCGACGATGGATCTATTAGATATTTTTCTTGAGGGATTTAAGTCGAAAGAAAAAAGATAAAAAGATTTTTTTTGTAGGTAGTGTAGTAATTTCCCCTTGTTTTTCTTTATGTCGCGGTTCTTTTCCAAGGGTTTTGTTTGAACCGGGTGTAGCTAGTTTTATTTTTTTAGGAATAAGAGCTATTGTGTTGTGTTTTGAATTGAAGAAATATCTCTTTCTTTTGTTGTGCCTTGAGAATAGTGAGTACTTTGGTTGTGACGCTTAGGCTCAGTTCTTGACTCTTGTATAAATACCTTAAATTGTATGATTTTAAATTTGCTTAACTGCTTTGACTAGAGTGTCTTGATGAATCCAATCCTGAGTGAGTTATCTGCCATGTGTGTGTGAGGTTTGGGTGTTATTCTGTGCATTGCATTTGATGTCTAGAACTTGCCCCGTGTGTTTGCAAAGCGAAATAGTAGTTTTGTTCAGTCTTGACAGTGATATATGCATTTCTTTGTTGAGCCATATATATATTTTACCCGCCTAATTGTTATGTATCGTAGTTAACCTATTGAGCCTGTAATCTTGTTTCTTTGGCAACCACATTACAAGCCTTACCCATTTATTTGAATTAACCATCTATTTGAACCTTCTAACCTCTCATGAGCACTTGATTTATTATAAACTGTGTAAAAGTTAAAGTGTGGGGTGGATGGTTTGGATTTTGAGTGGAACTAATGAAATAAGGAGAAAGGTGCATTATTTTGAAAAAGTAAGAGCCACTTGAATTGAAAAAGAAAGAAAAGGAAAAAAATTATTGTATTGCTGTGAAAAAAAAATATTCCTTGATAAGTGGTAACTTTTGATGTAATTATACTTAAAGAAGTATGAGGTAATATACATTGATGTGAAGGTGGAGTTTGGTTTGACATAAATATGGGGTTTGAATGTTAAAGTATATGTATTAAAGTGCTTAGGGAGGTGTAGTCACTCTTATATGTAAATGTATCCTACCCGTCCCGCAACCTACATTACAACCAAATAAAGTCCTACTTGATCCTAGACTGAATGAGCTCAATTAGTAGAATAGTACACTACGGGCAAGCCTATGGTGCATCTTTTGTGGCATATGAATGTTATTTCTGAGAGTGAGCGAATTCTTTCTAACTTGAGTTCCTAAGTGTTCTTAAATTTTATTGTGTGGAACTACTCTCTTTTGTTGTGTGAGGGCACTTGATTCATGAAGGAAAGGTAATGTCAATGACCTCTATGTTAGAATAAGTGAGTGAGTTGTGAATAATGCGTGGTATTTGTAAGTCAAATCTTGAGGTGAAGATATTACGTTTTTGTGCTTTGTCTATTTTAAGTATTTTTGGTGTGATGAATTAGGAGAATTATTTAAAAAGATTGTGTCTATATAAAGTATAGTTTGATTGCTCGAAGACAAGCATACTGTTACATTGCTTTTTATTAATTGCAAAGCTTTCTTGGAATCCCAACTCACAGATTACAGAGATTAATTTTTAGTAGTATGATCTCTCAGCTTGCTAATCTTCACTTTTCTAGTAATTCCTATTTATTCGATAAATAAGTTGTCATTACTAAGCTAATCACATCCGGCGCCTCCAAATGCAAAAAAGAAAAAAAAAACAACGTTTCATGCTTCTAAATACACAATGACGCATCCAGAAAAATGAAAAAAATAAATAAAAACTGAAGCGATTTGGCTGTAATTGATATAATTTTTACTGTCTCCATTCTAATTTTACAATTCGGGCACTATACCTCATTCATGTGTCCTTAGTCCTTTCCAATAGGGCAAGAAAATTGCATCGCCAATTTGCTTTCGTACATAAAACAACCTTTGAAAGTAATGAAACCCAAATTGCTAGAAGGAAATAAAAAGATAATGCAATGAGGAAATATGATATATATTATCTTGTAGTGAGATGGATAGAGTTCCCTCACCCTTAATTCGAGAATTCGAATTTGTGCCTTAAAGAATTAAAAAAAATCCTAATGTTACGCTTCTTTCTTAACGGATCCTACCCAATGCGATTTTGGGTAGGGAAAAATAGAAAAGATATGATAAATGTGGTAATAATAATTCCCAATTGGCAATTGAGTAAGTACATATTTTACTTTGTGATGAAAATGAGTATAGGTGAAGGGACCAGAAAACTCATATCCACATGGGGGCGTCCCGTTCTTTGAATAGGTGTCCGTAACTTATACGGCAAGCTCTGTTGGCGCTGTTTCTATATATTGTTTGTTTACTGTTGCTGTCACTCTCACTTTCACTTCTCTCTCATATTTCTAATTCACTAAATACGTATTTTATCTTGAAAAAGCTAAGCATAAAATTTAAAATCCATAAACTATTAATTTTGGTTCCGTCTCTGCTCTCACTTCTTGATGAGAAACATTTATTTCTAGTTAGCAAAGGATAGGAAGCAATTGGTGAAACTCAAATTTTTGATATTTTACTGGAATATCTAAACATCTCACATAAAACTTTAAATGATGGAAATTAATTAAGAATGGAGGAGTGATGCAAACTAAATAAAAAATTTATGGGAGAAAGTTAGTAAATTAATACTAGTACTTAACGAGGACAAGATGCTAGAAGCGCGACTTAGGTGTTTTGGTCATGTGAGGAGGAGGAGCACAGATGTACCGGTGAAGAGGTGTGAGAGGTTGACATTGGAGGGCCTATAGAGTGGTAGAGGTACGCCAAAGAAAAGGTGGGGAGAGGTGATTAGGCAAGATATGGCGCAACTTCAGTTGACCGAGGACATGACCATTGATAGGAAGGTATGGAGGTCGATGATTAGGGTAGTAAAGTAGGTAGTCTAGGGTGTTCATAACAGTAGTATTGGCATACAGTCTCGCTTTCTGTTAGTAAAAGATTTTTATTACTAACTGTTATTTTCTTTTATTGTTGATCACCTTACTATCTTGTTATTTTTATACTGCTTTTATATGGCCTTTTGGTATTGTCCCTTCTTGTCTATATTTTCATTAATGTGGTGCTTATACTTTTGGAAACGTCTCTATCCTCACAAGGTAGGGTAAGGTCTGCGTACACACTATCCTCCCTAGATCTTACGGTGTGGAATAATACTGAATATATTGTTGTATTTGTTGTAACACTAGTACTTAATAATATAAGAATTCAAGACGAAGAAAGTTGGATGAAAGGTGCCTGCATTGTTAATCCACTATTAACTCTACATCTCCAAACTCCTAGCCCTCAATTTAAAAGGGCAAAAGAATAATTATTATTTATTAGGAAAGAAAAGCACGAACACCTAAACAAGGTATTGGTGTAGTACCAGCAAAAATAAATGAAGCAGCAGCAATTGATACTGTTGTGGTCAGTCTTGCGAATTCAATCTTCAACTTCCTATTCGGACCCATTCGTAGCGACCTTCCAATGGCTCCTCTTTCTCAAAGTCGAAGTTGTACCTTTACCAATTAAAAGCCATTACGAGAGAGGAAAAACATAAAAGGAAAGAAAACAAAAGAGAGAAGGAAATGTACTTTTTTCTAAATCGTTTAAGTATAGCTTTCTGGCGAGCTGCAAAAAACTCTTCAATCTCTTTTTCAGACGGCATTTTCTCCGGCGTTCGTTGACGCTCGCTTGATAATTTCGCCTCTTTACTGCAAAATGTACGTTTTAAATAAATACTGGTAATCGTATAAATAACCAGGCTGTTGAAATCAATTAAGTATTTTTATTTTTTAATTTTGAATTGAAAAGACAAATTTAATAATAACACTATTTACCTTTCTGCAGACGCTATCACACTGTTCTCCTGCATTACAGGAAATTCAAAATTCAAATTTCACATAAATTCAACATATCCAGTTTTTAAATGCAACATGATACATATTCTGAGTCTGAACATATATATACATATAGGAGAAAATTGAATTCTAAGTAAGTTATACTCAGAAGCGTCGTAATATTGATTTGGAATTGCTCTTTGTTACCTCGCTTGATCCATTCCTTAAGCAATAAGACGCTAAATCGTGATCTAAGTTAGAAGCATCATTTAAATTAACCGAACTCGACGGAGAAACCAAACTTCCGGCCGGCGTATCTCCGACTCCGGAGTGACTTCTGCAGCGAAGTAGAGGAGGAGACATGAGCTTGACATCTCCATCACTTGATATCTTCCTCTTTTTCGTCGTCGTCGGCACTTCCAAATCTACATCTGACACCTCCATAATCGTCACCTCTTCAATTCCCTTGCACTTCCTCATATATACCTTCCCATCAATTCCTCTCACTTATATACCATATGTACATGTAGGCTTTAATCAATAACAACAGCGTAGATTCTATATATGCGAATCAGCTAATTATGTATGAATATTAAATGTCGAATTTGAAATTTAGACCCTCCTCGATCGTACACAAAAATCTCTCTATCTTCAATTCTATAACAGAAGCTCTGAACAAGAATTTCAGAATTTTACTTTCCCTTAAATTAAAGTACTCACTGAGCAGACCTTCTTTTGCAGAGAAGAGAGAGAGAGAGAGAGTAGTGAAGAGGGTGAGGATGATAATAATGAGATCAAATTTCGTCGGATTGTGGTTCTTATTATTGGCTGATGAGTAGTGCTGTCATTTCTGTGGTCCTGGGTTTTTGACAGCCGTTAAATGTGACGGTAATTTCTAGACAAATCTGGGGGGAGATCGAGGAGAGGGGACTAGGTAAAAGCTTAAAACAAAGCGAGCAACTATTTTCGTCGTTTTGGTGGAAAGTTTGTTAAGAGAATGTGAAAATTACAAACAGATAGAGCTTAAGTTCTGTGGTATGATGGTTGAGGTCAAATGACCATATTCACCTTAACGTATTGGAGTATTATTTTAATTAATTTTTAGTGTTAAATAGAACTAAATATAAAAAAAGCACACATATTAAATCGTTAGCTAAAATTCAATTTAATAAGCGAGTAAATAAACGGAGGAAACATAAAAAAAGGAATAGGATCGAGAAGTTAGATTTCCCCAAAAATTAAAAGCCGGTAAAACATAGAAAACAATTTCAGAAAGAAAAAGGACAAGAATTGGATAATGTATATCTATTCTCAAAAGAACAGGAATAGTCTTATTACAACTCATCCTTTGAACACATGAACCAATTAAAACAAAGTACGTCACGTTTCTGCTCATAAAATAAAAACTTTCCCCATCTAAAAACTACTTGTTCACACGAGGAATGTACTACTTACTAAAGCAATTTAAATCACTGACATAATTTGAAGAATTGTAACAGAACAAAATAAGACTAAAGGGTTAAGGAAATAGAACAAGGAATTACATTTAGTGACATGAGTAATTGGTATAAATTAACTTACCATCACAGTTGCAGAATTCTTCCTATATATATGTACCTCTCCTTTCCTGCAATAAAAAGAGTAACATGTTGAAATTAGAAAGTGTAGAAGATTAAAACTATATGATCTTTGTATTCAGATTGAGATATAATTACCTGAAGATTGAAATATAAGTACAACTAAATCTGCTTAAAAGCAACAGAGATTAGTTCTAATGCCCTGAAAAAGATGAAACCAATAACCTCTTAAACACAAGAGGGGTTTGACTCTATTTATATATATATATATATATATTCTCTATTAACTACAGAATCTATAGTTAAATTACTTACCTATGCAATTATTCGTTTATACAATGACTAATACCACAAAGTCCAACCGTACAATAATTACAATAACTGTGTAATATTGATAGATTCCCTTTTAAGATTATCTTTCGGTTTATCAGATCATTTATTAGGTACTATATTCTTTTATGGAAGGTTACGTACTTTATTACACTACTAAAAATCTGCTAAAAACCGACCAACTATTTCCGATCAACGTTGGTCGGTCAAAAAATGCGATCAAAAACCGTCCAGGTTAGACGCAAACTGGGAAAAAAAACATTTACATTTTTTAAACAAAATACCGACCAACGTTGGTCGGTAAATTAGTCAATAGCTGGTCAGACAAGAAAATTTTGGATTACCGACCAACGTTGGTCTGTAATCTGGATCTAATTTTTTAAATTTTAATAATTATTTTATTATTTAAAATATTTTATAATATTAAGAATTTATATTTAAAATTACCGACCAACGTTGGTCGGTTAAAGAATTTAAAATTCTTTTTAAAAAAAAACCGACCAAAGTTGGTCGGTTTTTGGTCAAACGGTCAGCACTTAATGTAC